CCCTTTAGTCAGCAGTCCCCTGGTGCTCTTTATTCTAAGTCGTTCTTTTTTTTAATTGTGGTAAAATGTACGATATAAAATTTACCATTTTAACCATTTTTAATTTGCCATTAGTTCTGTAGCATTAAGTATATTCATGTGTGATGCAATCCTCACTGCCATCCATCTGCAGAACTTTCCCATCTTCCCAAACTGAAACTAGGTACCCGTTAAACAGCAACTCCCCGTGTCTTCCTCCCTAGGCCTCTGGCAACCACCATTCTACCTTCTGTCTCTATGAATCTAACTACTCCAGGTGCCTCATATAAATGGAATCATACAGTCTTTGTCCTTCTGGTTTTTTGTTTGTTTTGTTCTCTTTTTGTTAGAATATCTTTAGATGAGATTAGTGGAAAACACGTTTTATTGCTCTAGCTTTCAGTAGCTTTTCTTCAGGCAAAAAGAGCCAGCAGTAGTTAACTTGCTGCAATGTCTGCTGAGACTTCTAAGCAAACACTGTTGCCATGTGAGCTCTGGCCCTTTTACAAATCCTGCTTAGGAAAGGTGCTTACTACCACCGCGCACGGCACAGGAGCCACCTTTGCAATGCATCACTTCAGTTCTGGGTAGGTCTGGTTTCCAGGTGGAGAACAGACAGGCAGGGTGAGATGAAAGTTGAAATGCGATCAAGTTTGCCCAGTCGCTCAGGGGCAGAAAGCACTGACACGAAAAGAGTGCAGTGGAACCCCTTAGGGAGGGCTGAGGCCAGCACAGACACTGCAGAAGAGGAGATCGTTCTGGCTTCGGAGACGTCGCAGTGCTTCCCTCCTGAGTGGGGCATACCTCTTGTTTCTTTGCCTGCCAGGATCGAATGAACATATCTCATAAAATGAAGCATTTTGGTCCCCAGAAGGAGGGGTACAGAGGTAAGAGACACGCGCCCATGGCTGGGGGGGGGGGGGGGGGGGGGGGGGGGGGGAAGGGGCCAGATGCTGTTAGAGCCAGCCCCAGAAGTGACTCAAGTGGGGATTGACACATATTCCTGCAGTGCAAGTGAAGACTCATATACAGAAAAGGATGGAAAATTTTCTCTCCCCCCTACTCTCTGATAGGAGCAAAACCCAAATAAGTTAGTGGGGGCCTATCTCACTGCAGTGTGATTATTAGAGGAAGATGCTGTTCCGTGTACCGCCACCAGCTTTCTGTTACCCTGTGACTGAGATGCAGGGTCTGCATGATCAGCTGTAACCGTCTATCTTTGGTTTGGGGATGCATTTGTTGATCTTGTCCTTTGCAGATTTGCTCACCTCGTTTAGGCTTTTTGAAATTGTATTCTGCTGTCCTCGTTCCCTAAGAGTGCAACCACTGACAGCATAGACAGTACCAAGGGCTGGCATTAGTTGTGTCCAGTCTTTTTCAGGATAACTGTGAGTTAGGCTGTGCTAACACACATCAAAAATATTTACTGAGCACCACTGTTTGCAAAACATATAAAAATATTAAGTAACAGTGTAAGTAGTAATAACAATAAAGGAGATATCCCAAAACAGTGAGATACCAATTGCCTAACAGAAAATGCTTTATATGTTATTTTCTGGGATTTGGGGTCATAATGCCATTAAATATAAAGACTGAGTGGGATGCATCTGCTGTCCTTAGAAGTCTCTGCACAGGAAATGGATACTGCTGGTGTTCCCTGCTGCCTCGGCAGAGTCCAAGGGAGGTGGCTTTCTGGGTCAATAATGCCATTTAAGATGAGCCCCCAAGTTGTCACACTCTGGAAGCTCTCAGAGTCCTTCCCATCAGTGGAGAAGTTAAAGGTCAATGGCTTATAGATTGCGATTTGCCGTGTGAAAGCAACCTTGGTTGATAACAGCCAAACATCTTTTGTCTTGATTCTGTGGTCGAGATCATAACTGAATTTAAGATTCGAGATTTCTTTGTGAACTGGTATATGGCTCCTTATATTGAGGTATCAGTGCAAAAATGTAAATGTGGTTGAAAGACATGAATCTTGCCTAGGGTGACAACGTAGTGAGCGGCTTTATCTGTGAGGTCTGTGAGAGGCAGCTCCCTGTGCACACGAACGGTAGCGGGGACTCCCATACGCACTGAAGACCCCACGTTGACAAGCACACACGTGTGCAAACACACAGGCGCCCCCGCCACTCCCTGTGCCTGGTTCCTTTACTGCCATCCCGTGTTTCAGTGACCACTACCCTCGGGATGTGATGTGGTGTTTTGAAAGTCACAGACACTACTTGTTGCTTTAGTGAAACCATCCGGTGTAACAGAGATGGAGAGGAAACAGCAGGTTTTAATCAGAACTAAAGCAAATGAAATCCTGTGGAGAAAATCTAGTCCCCCTAAAGTTAGTGATTGGGACCCCCTGGCAAGTTTTCAGCTGCTCCTCCTAGACTATGACATACACACATAATCAAGATAACGAATCCTTTCCCCCAGAACTTTACGCTTTTCAGATGTGTTAGACGAAGAGATTGAGGTGTTTGAATTTTCCCACGAAGAGTCTTGTAGCTTTCACAGTATCGTGAGAGAAAAAATTAAGTCAGAAAAGTCTGAAAGGCAGAGGTAAACCATAGTCCTCTACAAAGAAGGCTCTTGATTGCAGACTGTGCAGTGAAGCTAAGGTTTCCGGGAACTCCTGCTGTTTGGGCGTTTTCTCTTACAGTGGATTGCGGGGAGGGGGCCCCTAGAGCCGCCTTGAGGGGACAGTTAAAGCGGGAATGAGGGTTGGACTGGGGGAGGGGAGGACAGAGTGAAAATGTCACAGAATCCAACAAATCCGGGTTCAGCCTTGGCCCCTGCTCCCTAGCTGTTTTCCCCTGGGGAAGCAGCCCCAGGTTTCTGCCCCTCGGTCTCTTAGAATCCAGCTTCTGCAGGACTGCAGTGAGGGCCCTGGGGGGAACCGACCACGACAGCACACCCCTTAGCCCCATCTCACACACATCTTAGCACATCTCACGTGCTGCCCACCTGGCCTGGGAACCAAGGGTAGGGGCCGCTGCGTGACTGGAGAGGGGCTTGGGGTTCTCGGCGAGCTCATCCCCATGCCCTTTGGAGAAGCCAAGTCTTCCAGGCAGATTCTTACAGAACAGAGCCTTCATTATAGCTAGCAGCAAAAAAGCAGGCCCCTCTTAGAGAGACTTGCTTTTGAAGTGTGGGGAGGCCGCCCGCTGGTAGGAAAGGCCACTGCCCTGAAATAAGATTCGGAACCAGGGGAAGAGTGAATGCTGCTGCGTATGTGGTCTGCTTCCAAGGAGGGGGTCGCCTAGGGAACACAGGGTTGGGGTAGGTGTTAGTTTTGTCACAAGGATGATCAAGGAGGGTCGGCCCCACGTCGCTCCTGAGACCCCATTCTGGTGTGGAGAGCTGTGGGATGGAGGGAATTCACGGTGAGGTTTGTTTTGGGACACTGTCCAGGATGGCATCCTGTACCACCGGTGCTTCATAAATGCCATTTATGGTGGTGACAACAGTGTGCGTGCCCACGGCCAGGTCCCCGGTTGTTTCAGCCGTCCCCTCCAGCATGCCTCACTCCTCCGGGAGAGTGGTAGCTGGTTGAGGGGTTCCCACACCCCACGGGCTGCAGAGGAAGCCCAAAGAGAGGTGACACAGGCCCTCTGTCTGGGAAGCAGCCCCTGCCAGTGCAGGGAACGTCCTCCAGGCCACTGGCTGCTTTTGCCGTTTCCTCTCCCGTTTCTCTGATGTGGGTTGAGTTTCCTTACAATGCATTGAATGAATGAGAATAAGAAAGTGTGTATTGGCAGAATTACAGCTGGATAATGCCAAGGCTTTCCAAGTCAGAGCGTGAATTTAAGCAGAGCAAAGCTTCAAGTCCGTGGGGCTCAAGAGTGATTGCTATTCTTCTAATAATGAAAAGTACAAATGTTTGATGTTCAAAGGTTAACAAACGGGACTCTTTCACTGGCCTTCTGGGCTGCTCAGCACAGAGTGGAAACCGTTCTGATCTTTGCCGTATCGCACTTGTATTTTCTAGGCAATTAGAAACATTGTCCACTCAGCATTTAAGAGGTTTGAACTGGCTGGAGACCTTTTTTTTTTTTTTTCCCCCAAACTAAAGTTTCCTTTTTTTAAAAAAAAAAAACTGACAGTTTTTCCTTTTTGCAAGTAGACTGAAGTTTTAAAGTAACAGGCTTTCAAAATAGCACACTTAGGACTTGCCTGCATAATTATTACATTTGTCATGGGATTAGCACTTTCCGAAAGTATATTTCTATACCAGTATCTTACTTTGCCCAGAAGTGTGGTTCTTCATAGTATATTACGTACATTTAGGCAAAATAGACCCAGCCCCCATTCACTAGAATTTGCGCTATAAAGGTAATTATTGCCAATAAAATGGAAGCCATTTATCTTAATGAACCAGTAGGAAAATTAAGTCTGTTCCAAGAAGAAAAAAAAAAAAACCATTGGTCATTCATGGTGGGCTGTATCTATTTTTATGAGCTTCTCTAAGTCATCTCTTTGCTGACTGCCTACAGCAAACAACAACAATGCACAAGTAGTGTTTTGTTTAATTTCTTATGTTCGTTAGCAGGTTCACTTCTCCCTTGAAAAAATGATGTCTTTGCCCCTCTTGTCTATTGGAGAGCCTTTAGTGCCTTCCTAGTAAGAAACCAGCACTAGTTGGTCCTACTGGTCTGGTCTTGGACTACACATAGTGTGGTTAATGGCTTCTGCTTTCCCCTCCAAATGGAGGGGGGACACAGAAGTAATTGAAACTTACAGTGTCGGGGCATAATTGTATTCCGTTATATTTAATGCAAACGAGGAGGTATTCTAGCTAACATGCAGGAAAATGGCCTTAGAGGAGGCCATGTTGCGTGTCACTGAATGCACGTGGGGACGTGTTCCCTCCCAGCCTCACCGCCCCCTGCCCCGTGCTCTGGCCCCGACCCCAAAACAGAGGCGCTACCGGTGGTAGTCAGGAAATGCCGTGAGCCACAGGTAATGAGCTCGATCTCTGTGTTCCTTGCCAGATCTCCCAGCTGATGACAGAGCCTGGCCGGGAGGGCCTGACAGAGGCGGCGCTGAATCGCTACAATGCAGACAAGCCTTCGGCCTGCAGCGTCCCGGCCTCGCAAGCCTCCTGCGTGGCCAGCGAGACCTCCGCGGGCACCTCGGTGGCCGCGTCCTTCTTCGCCAGGTAAGAGAGGTGTCCAGACCCTCGGTTCTTTCAGGTGAGCCCACCCGGTTGGCCTCTCACGTGGACCAGTTTAGCTAAAACACTGGGAAGAGTTTGGGGCTGTTCTTTGACTTCACTCTTTAAGACAGGGTTTCTCAACCTCAGCCCGTTGACATCTGAGGCCAGATAACTCTCTGTTTAGGGGGACTGTCCTGTGAGTATAGGACGTTTAGCAGCATCCTTGGCCTCTACTCGCCAGATTCCTGTGGCACCTTCCCCGGTTGTGACAACCCAAAATGTCTCCAGATGTTGCCAAACATCGCCTGGCTTGAGAACTTCTGCTCTGGGAATACGTGGCTCTAAAGATGGTCTCCACAGGAGGAGGAATTTTGTGGGTGCAGCCCCATGGCTGGTGTTTCCAGATATCTCTTCTCACTACAGAAAATGAACTGCTTAAAATTTAGCTATTAAATAGATGGCAATTTTCTTCCTCCTTGACAGACTAGCTGGATAGTTGTCAACTATCCAGCTAATTTCAGAAACTTAAAAAAAAAAAACCCTGAGAAACAAAAAAGAAAGGTATTTCAACAATGTTTTCTGCCTAATTTTAGCAACACGGCAGAGACAGGGCAGGAGACATAGGACAGCTGAGCAGGAAGGCGCTTCAGGGATTGTCTAATTTGATCTCCTTATTTTATGAATAAGGAAACTGAGGACCAGGAAAGTTAAACTGTGAGGTAGTTTATAGCAAAGCCAGAAATAGAAACCAGATTCCTCTGGGTTTTCCTCTGTGACTCATTCTTTACTTGATACTTGGAACTTAACCTTAGAAAACTTTTTCTGTACCTAAGATTCGTGAGCTTCTGAGTAAGCAGGGTATAGACTAAATAGAGTGAGATGTGAAATCAGAAGACCCCTTGGGTTTGAGTTCCAGCTCTGCCTCAGGGTCCTCATCTATAAAATGAGGATAATACCTGTTCCTCAGGGTTGCTCTGAAGATTAACATAAGATGATTATAAATTATAAAGTATGTGCTGTACAAATGGTAATTCACTATGGACTTAACGAGCGTGTCAGTAAGAGGGAACGTTGTTTGGCTTTTCCTGTTATCCTTAGCAATGGTAACATCCAAAGCACAAATCTGAGGAAGGGGCTCTGATTAGGAAAGGAACAAGTTAGAGGAGGAACAGAGGCTGACATCCTGGATTAAGACACAATAAAGGCAGCACACGGGGCTTGTCGGAAGACTGGCTTTGAGGTTCTGGTTGTACCTTGGTGCCATGTTTATTGTCCTGTGAACAACTGGGCCAACTTGAATGTATGGGAAGTAACAGGAAATATGTATGTAGTGGCCACCTGACAACAGAGGCCACCGTGTTAGCTCTGCGTGTTCGTGAATTTCTGTGTTGTCTGGGACCACTGAGAAAGCTTACTGGGAGGTCATGTCCATGCCACTCAAGGAGAGAATAAACAGATGGAACAGAATATGAGGGAATGCCACAAGCACAGAAGATCCCGGGACATAGGTAGGCTATTAGAGCATGTCTACAGGAGGGTGACTAAAGTGGTGAGGAACTAGGAGGCCAAGTCCTGGCAGGCTTAGTCTGGAGAAGAGAGCCCTCAGCTGTCTCTTGGGCCATCATGTAAAAGAGGGATTTGGATGGTTGTATAGAAAACCTGAGTATGTGGGCAAAGGCTGAATAAAACTTCATGATGAAAGAGAGAGATCTCCCAGCTCGGAATGAAGGAGAACACGCTCACAATTCAAACTGCCCCAAGAGACAGTGAGGTCCCCATCACCGAGGGAGATCAAGCTTGCATTGGGTGACTACCTGGCTTCATTGCCGGAGAGAACATTCAGTGCTCAGATGGGGGTTGATCTCCTGAAATACTGAAATGTCCAGAGATTTTTACAGACTGACTGACTCATAAAAAAAACCCAGAAAAAGGAGTTGAAGCAGGAAGAAATAAGAGGTGCTGTGATCCCTGATGGACAGTGTTTTGGGAGAATAGTGTTCCCTGCTGGGGGGAAACCAACAGTGTCATCCGAGTCAGGGAGAGGATGTCGAGATGGGATAGACCAGGAAGGCCTGAGTGCTGGACAAATGGTGTATGGAGGCCAGCTTTCACGTGGGTCAGAGGAGGATTTACAAACAAGCGAACAAGCACCAGGGAAAAGAATGGTGAATGACTGGCAAAGACAGTCTTCCTGAGAGTTTTGCTTGGACACCAAGGGGTAGAATGGAAACACCAGGGTGCACCCACCTGAATGGGCCAGTGATGTCGGCTGGACGAGGCCCTGTGGATGATGTTAGCGATAAACAAAGAACCCCTGAATTCAGAATTGCAAGGGCTTGTGGTATGAGCTTTCAAAGAGCTAGAAAGGATTCAGAGGGCTACCTAAATCTTTGTCATTGCTTTGTGGTGAATGCTGACAGCACCTGGAGCTTAGTGGGTTAAGGCATTAAAAGTACATGGTTTGGGGCTTCCCTGGTGGCGCAGTGGTTGAGAGTCCGCCTGCCGATGCAGGGGACACGGGTTCGTGCCCCGGTCCGGGAGGATCCCGCA